AGGATTCAGGGCTACCATCAACCCTGCTGGGCTGCCTGCCCTCTCTGCTGCAGGTAGCCTGAGGAGGATGCAGCTCAGAGAGTGCTGAATCTCCCTGCGGGGCCTTGGCTCTCCGACAACTTTTCCTTGAGTTCTGAGAACATTCCAGAAGGACCTGTAAAGCTGGTGGGGGAAAAGCCTCCAGGAGATATGGCGCCAGGCTAAAAGAGACAAGCCCGGGCAACCCATCTGGGCAGGAATTTGGTTCTGTCATTTTCCACCATCAGACTCCTCAGGGGCTTGTTTTGGCAGCTACCAACACATCTACATTACAGTTATGCTTCGATGGACAGGGGCTCTGGGGAGGCGGGTGCTTTCTTCTATAGTCCACCCAGGCTCCCAGCTGGGCACCTCACCTCATCTGGGAGATGAGGTCCCCACATTCTGAATCTCCTTGTTAACACTGCTCTTGGCTGACCAGTGCCTGGACCCTCGGTCTCCTAGCTCCTGACTCTGCAGGACTGACTTCCTTCCACTCAGATTTGTTTTCCTGATTTGTAAGATGGGATCTGACTGTATATTTTTTTAGGACCGTTAGAAAAGAATATTCCCTGTGTGGCACAATCACACACACACACACACACACACACACACACACACACACACACAGAGAGAGAGAGAAAGAGAGAGAGAGAGAGAGAGAGAGAGAGAGAGAGGCACTTCTTTGCACTAAGGGTGTGCCATGAGCTAACCTGGCTGGCAAGCACACTGAGGCAGGAATTTGCTATGTTTTTTTTCTAAGGCAGGTGGTGACTGTCTTATTTCATGGATGGGAGCTTGACCTCACAATCTAACTCAATAGGCTAATTCACAATGGACACAGGGGAAGGGTGGTAGTCTCAGAAATGATTAGGGTTGATCAAACAGGCATGTACAGAAAAGTTTCACTAGATGGAGGCTGTTTATGGAATATTGGCCCTTGGCTGTCTAGACATGTTTCACAGAAAACAAAAACAAAGAGCACTGGGAAAATGGCTCGGTGCACAACCAGAGGACCCAGCTTCAACTTCCAACACATACACGATGGCTCAGAGCCGTCTGTAACTCTGGTCACAGGGAATCCAGTGCCTTTTTCTGGCCACTGCAGGCAATGAATGGCTTTTGTTTGTTTGTTTTGTTATTTGAGACAGGGTTTTTCTGTGTAGCCCTGGCTCTCCTGGACTTGCTTTGTAGACCAGGCTGGCCTTGAACTCATAGAAATCCGCCTGCCTCTGCCTCCTCGAGTGCTGGGATGACAGGCAGGCATGCACCACTATGCCCGGGTGGCACTGCATGACTTGTTCATACACACAGACAAAACACCCATACACATAAAATAAAAATGAAAGTTAAAAAACAAAAACAAAACCCACCCACAACTTTTCTCTTGGAACCTTCACAGGACCTCTTCCAAGTGCCAGGCTAGGATCAAGACACCATGTGGGCCTACACACCCAGCATACTGCTGTTAGAAACAAGACTGGGATTACCAATCAAGAAATCACCACTCAAATTAACATGTTTTAGAACTAGGCATGGTGATGGACATCCTTAATCCCAGCACTCAAGAGCTAGAGGAAGGCAGATGTCAGAGTTCAAGGTCAGTCTAGTCTACAGAGAGAGTTCCAGGAGAGCCAGGGATATGTGCAGAAACTGTCTCAAAAAACAAAACAAAACAAGGGTGGGTTGAAAAAGCAAACTTCTGCACGGAAGGGTGTGCAGCTGCCAAAAGCTGGAAACGAAGCACAACCAGCTGCAAATGGTGTCAGCCTTATACCCCTAACTCAAGGGGCACTTGGCTGTTCCTCATTGGCTGAATTCAACCTCACAATTTACACCTGATTGGCTAGTTTGAAACTAACAACAAAGAAAATAGAAAGGGACAAAGAGAAGGGATGGGTTTTTAGTTGTCTTTTAAACTATTATTTTATGCATTTGGCCTGTATGTCTGTCTATGAACCATATGCATGCCTGGTGCCCATGGAGGCCAGAAGAGGGCATCAGATCCCATGGAACTGGAGTCAATGTGGTTGTGAGCCACTATGTGGGTGCTGAAAACCAAACCCAGATCCTCTGGGAAAGCAGCCAGTGCTCTTAACTGCTAAGCCACCTCTCCAGCCTGAAGGGTAAATTCTAACAGATAAGCATTCAAGGAAGTTGTGACAATGAGTCAGGGTGTCAGACATATGGACATTCCAAGAAGCAGATTATATCTAGCTAAACAAACATGCAGCCCTTAACAAAGTAGCAAAAGAGAAGGACCTGAGAGGAAACAGGCTTACAACTACTAAACTTGTTTGATAGATAAAAAAGATTAACGCTTTCACAATCTGCTCCCCGCATTTTATTATATGTTCTCTTCTTCAAATACTGTTAAGAGGCACTGAGCCTCCTTTCCCCAAGCATCTAAAGGAAAGAGCACTGTGGTCACTGGGTGGAGGCCATTTGGCACTAGCTGTTCCTGTAAGCCTTAGAACCGCCAACATAAGGTTGTCCACAGCAACCTACTGGAGTCATGACTCCAACTATTATAATTACAGATGTTCAAGTGAGGTCATTATTCCGTTTTCCAAATCATTGTTCCAATTCCATTAAATTAGTAAAGGAATCATCCATTCCTAAATCTGTGGCTCGTTCATTAGTGAGAGCATTGAGACATTGGAGAAGCAGGTAACAGGCCCCACCTGGAGCAACACTGTTTGTAATGAATAAGCGGCGCTGTCTTCCTCACATACACAGACTCCACCTCTTCCAGCTAATATCATGTTAATCACCAGTCTGTCTTCCCAAGTCATTTTGTTAGGGCTCAGTTGCTCAGCAACTGCATCTCCAGTATAGGTAAGGAATCTTTTCTGGTTGTAATGGGTTACTTGCTACAGTGTGCATTTTTCTTAACCATGGACCACCAGAACAAGGCTGACTTGAAACTGGTTGCTATTTGGTTTCAAGGTTTAAATTAATTTGGGGAGCTCTGGGACATTTCTATACCATCTATATAAATATGGGGGCCAATGAGTCTCCCAGGGTTAACAGATCCCTCTTTTTTCTTCTTCTTCTTCTTCTTCTTCTTCTTCTTCTTCTTCTTCTTCTTCTTCTTCTTCTTCTTCTTCTTCTTCTTCTTCTT